GGAATGTCATAACTATCATAATATTTGGCAGGCAAGAGTAACATTATAAGTGCACATTTAGGTGCTGTACTATTTCCGTCATATTTACATGAAGATTGGAGGTCTGAGTGACACCTTTGTGGGACCTAGACAGGGTGGAATACCTGTTTTCTGAATTTGAGGTTCTAAATGAACAAGTACAAGAATGAGGGGTTGCAATCATGTGAGCATAGTTTTGGGAGAATTTGAAGGAGAGAGTCTGGAGCAGTTGGATACCATGACGCATGCTCAATTTTTAGATGAAAAGCCTAATTGGTGCTGGTTCGTAGAGCAGTGAAGCTGGAATTTGCATGCATTGGAATACTTAGGCTTAATGGCACATTGACAAGGGAGATATCTGCGTAGGTAAAGTGGGTAATGATCTCCTCTGATAGAACTCGACAGTAAGAGTGGTAACAGTGAGTACCAACTAGGACGGAGACGAAGTCGATGCTATGAATACACAATAATCCAGTGAGAGCAGGTTCGTAGGCTGCATGTCATCAGGACAATGAGTTTTGATGAACCCATGTTTGGGAACAGAATCTCCTTAGTAAAGATATCATGACCATGGGCATCGGTGAAATGGCAAGCCAGAGCACAAGAATAATTCAATATTAGTCGCGAATAGAAACGATAGAAAACACGAAATGTAGGCTTTACCTGGGCGGTCGAGTGGTTGTCAAAGCCTGAGTCTAGAGGGAGGACGTTGTAATAGCACAACTTCAAAGTAGTTTTGTCGACATCATCAGAAAAATGTTTTGTTGATCTTCGGCCTGATTTTGTTGATGGTGTTAGTAATGGTAAGAGTTGTGTTGAGAGATCAAAGTCAGCATGATAAAATGTGCTGTTGCATGCATCAAGTGGTTAAGGTGAAACGAAAGCGTGAGCCAAATAAATGCATTAGCAGTACCAAAAGAGCGAGTGATTGTTTTTGCTGTCATCAACCATTACTGCCATCAGCAAATCAGCTGAGCAACAATTTTCATCTGAATGCGTCAATCTGATCAGCGTCTCATTGCGATCTGGTGATAGTGGCCTTTTAAACAGTGATAGCCCTCATGCTGTATCATTGCCACTTACCGGTGTGTTGCAACCCATTCCCAAATTTTATGAAGGCGAAATTATGCTGGGTTTGCCTGCAAAGGACAAAAAAACAAAGGGCCTCTTGGCTACAATATCATTTGCACTACTTAACTGCGAGGTGATGATCGCAGCGATACACAGTGCTTCGGCACTAGGAGCGGTTGTGTTGATGCGTCAACTTTGAAGGAAGTAAAATTGATGCATTCATTGGGATTCCTTGTAAGTGGAAATAATCAACCTCCACGCACTTCTCCGTTCCTTCATTCATTTTCTCAATGAATCAGCGTGTGAGTCAATTTGCTCTTGTGCAGATGAACCAATGAAATACCGCCATCTTGACAACACATATCTCTGCGAATTGGGAGTAGTGCAAGGTGCCCTTTTGTCTGACCTGTGTCAGCAATTACACTGATGGTGTTTAGGCTTCAAATTGTGAGCCTGAATGTAAAGATTAATTTCCCATACTCGTTTCATCTCAGGTATCATGTTGATGTTGGTACACTTTAAACTAACAAACAAGCATTTCCTGAACAATGCGTGAGATTGACAGTAATGCACCTTAGTTCTTTTTTGACCAGAAATTGTAATTGGTCTCAGCAAAGCTTGTACATTAAAGACTGGAAGCCATATTGTCAACAGTGAAGGCCTGAAAGTCCCACTGTCTTGCATGGCATCGCGAATCTATTATTTGGTATCAAAATAACTTACAACTTAAGCACGTAAATGGGAAAGATCGTTGTAATTAGTGATGCTGGTTACCTGTATTTCGATTTGCTTTGACTGTTTCTACTGCCATTTCTAACTTTCGCAAGTGCTTAACTATCGAGATGTAATGACGAAGCAGAAGAATTTAGAAAAACTCTTAGTTAAACCATGGGTTTCAATGACATGTTAAAGAACTCATTACTTCTACCCATAACAGTCAGTCAGACTAAGAGGTGGCTCACCGGGCAGGGCCTGGTTTGGGTTTTGTGTGGCGACTGTGACAATGCAAGCATAGCCATTGGCTGAGCTGTAACAACACAACAAACTGATTAATTACAAAGCCATATGTGCTGACCATTAGAAGTGGCAAACGTGTCTGCCAGTTAGGAGCTGTGGTGTGTCACACACAATTGAAGTGCGAGGTTTAGTATTTCCTTTATCCTTGTAAGTATTGGCTCTGTCTGTGGCGCGATTTTGTTCAACCATTTGCATAAGGCGCTGAAAGAGTCAATTCAGGTCACATGTCACAAAAAGCCTCCTTTCATTTCTTCACGCAGTTCAGTCCGCTGATCCGTGTCACAACTGAACACCCTGTCTCTCAACAAAGCAAACCTAAATTTGGCTTTGGAGCAGTTGATGGGGTCGGAATCTGCGTTACGGAAGACCTAGAGGAGGAGGAAGGAAGGCATTTTTGCGACTCTGGAGGGCGCAGTGATGTATCTGATGTAGCCGAATGTAAATCACTCGATGCTGGAAGAGGTGTATGTGGCTGTCTGCTATACAACAGGTTCTACCGTGTGGATCAAGTGTTACAGAGTACTCTGACATCTGCTGCTACTAGTACTTAGCTGCCTAACTACATACATACTTTCCTCTCAAGGTCTTTTTCTACTTTCTTACTTTGTTCTTCACATTTGTAGACTTCACGAAAAGGGGCATCGAAACAGCCGTTCGAATGTCTCCATGTTGAAGCAGCACCGTAAGAGGGAATGCTGCAGAACCTACCATTGCTTCCCATAATACGAATGCAACTCCCTGACCGATTCACTATAGAAAGTTGTGAGGGTTATCAGCCCATCACCCACAACAAGATGGAAGTGGCTTAAATATTGGTCAATTTAAACAAAGACAGAGCCAAGTGTCCATCACAAATAATTTACTTTTACCAATAAAATTCTATGCCAAAATAGTGCGGACCCATGCACTTTTCATCCGATGCCACCTTCCTCATCTTTTAACCAAGAGACAGAATATGTCATTATGATTTATGGGCCGAAGGCTTGACATTGATGGCTGGAGGGTTGAGTCTGCATTTCTCCCACACACCGCCCCCTATTTTGCGCTTGAGGTCATAGTGGCATCACATCCTCCCTACTCTTACTCAATCTCTACCTATTTAACACATGGTAACATCATCCACCAGATGCTATCATACTTTGACTACAATCTGCAACTCAAATCACGTCTAGGAAATTGCATTTGCACAAGTGGACACAAAAGCACACATGCACGGTTAGTTACCTACCTTACTCAATTGGTCAGATAGGTGCATCTGCGTTATGGGAGGAGACGGTGGGTTCTTCACCACTTCATTCTACGGTGCCACAAAAACGAGGAGCCTTTCCAACTACCCCTGTATCGCCACCGCTTCTTGCAAATTCCGTATAGGTGAGAAAATTCGAGGTAGGAGTAAAAGAACGGCGCAAAAAGAAGGGCATGCATGCAGTAGTAGAAGGAGCAGCCAAGTGATGTTGCAACAGTTGGTCTGCAGCAAACTCCACTCACCGTAATCCCTTTCGTCTAGGAGTTAGCATTTTGAGTCCTGCCTAATTCGACGAAATGGTTCTATCATCTTGCTGCTGGTCATGTGTACAATGTTTATTTTTGCAGTAGCAGTATCCAAACATTTGCTAGTAGCTATAAGCAGTCTCGTGTTCGTGACCTCTGAAGCAGCAAAATGTCCGTCCTACGTCTTCCCCTTTACCCCAAATAGCGAAGATTCCGACCCCAGCAACTACTCCAAAAGCAATGTTAGAATTGCTTTTTGGCAAGACAGGGTGTTCTCTCTCTAATGAATCATCAGACTGCACTGTATGAAGAAAAGGAAGGGAGACAATTCATGATTTTTGATATTTGACATGAGTAGTCTTCCCGACTACCGAATCGTGGAATAATTAGACCGACTGTGTACCACCGTCAAACAAACTGTGAATGTTTACTTTCTGCGATCAATCACAAATCTGCTATTTCCAGTAACAATGAAATTGACCTTGCATCACGCTACCGCTACCAACATTTGATTGCCCAACCACTGGATCTACAGATGACTCATGTACACTTGTAAATAGGCACTAGTCCCTCGCATTTCCTCTACCACCGCGCCGCCCATACGTAGGCTCCTCAGTGTGTGCTGCTGCCTTCGCCTCTGTCTCAATCTTATGCAATGCCTGATGGAACTCTGGGTGCCTGGCTTAGAATTAGCTTGCCTGATCTGCCCTGCCTTTGACCAATCTAGACTGGGAGGTTTGGTTTTAAACTCTCCAGTCGCACTCCCATTTCACATTGTGTGGATGACATGTGGTGACTGCAGTGCAATCTCCCCTACGTTAAACTAGTGAGGTATTAAAATACAATGGCAATTTCGTCTAGTTTAGACAGCAGTTTCATTAGGTAAGGAAGAGGTGGAAGAAAAGGATGAGAAACAGAAGCTAGTAGCAAATGCTATCACCCTAGCCAAATGACACAAACGCTCTTGACAGTGCTGAGAGTCACACAGAAGCGGTGGGGGATGGTGACAAGGCTTAATGGTGCTTACAAGGCTTCGTCATTCCTACACACAGTATTGCTTTACCCGCCTTACAAGAACCACATTTTGCACAGCATATCTGCGAGGGTATATTTGATTGCAGCGACCTAAGCCTCGTCATTTGTGCCGAAGCAGTATCTCTTCAACCATTTCTATCTCAATGCGATGTTTGGTACGAAAGCTTGGTGTGAAGTGACAATCATACTCATTCACTAATCAAATTACTGAGGAAGTGGAAGCATTCAAGTGTGTCCGTTAGCACTAGAATTATCTACCCCTAAACCTTGTGGAAATGGGGTAAGTTGGCCGCGATATCAGAGTTGAAGAAGTGTGAAGGTGGGATCTGAAGAGAGATGTGGAAGGGACCAAAATGTTTAATCCCTTTTATTGGATTAGATACAGGCTGATGGGTATTGTCAAGGGCTTTGTAATTGAGGAGGATTGAGATGCCATATTACCAAATTGAGAAAGGACTTCATGAAATAGGTGGCTGAGTCCAATCACTTGTTTGCCCAACCAACAGTTTTCTTGGTTCTCCAACCTCGATTCTTGAATCCATCTTCTCCTGAAATCACTGAATTTGCCAAGTATGCACCTTTTCAGATTATAGGAGGGTGGTAAAGGTCGGACGTGAAGTGTGTATTTTTCAACTAGCGAGAGAAAGACGAGGAACGCTTGGTCAATAGTGGAGGGAAAGTAGTAACAACGCCCGACTTTAACTTGACTATACCATAGCTGTATTTGGTCACCAATGTCACATTAAAATAGGAACCGTGGAGGAGAGGTTCCAACATCGCAGTTAACCAGACTGAAGTGGCTCAAATGTCGGCTAATCTAGAGACAGAATTGTGTGCCCACCAAATGTACTTCACCCTAAATAATGGCTTCAGTGTTCATGACGTACAAACTATGAGCTTCATTTTACCATGAGGCAAAAATGCCTCGTCTCTACGGTATAACAACAGACGACATGTCTAAGCTTATCAATCTCACGTGGATTGAATGGAACGTCATGGTGGATGAACAGGGAGAGGCTTGCCTTTTTTGGGACAAATCAAGTGTAAGAAAGTTAATTAATGAAGGAAAATGAGGGAGAAAGAGCACGTGCCTCTTTGCTAATTTGAAGACCAATAAATTCACATGTAACATGTGTATTCGACTTGCAACGAAGGATAAGAGACTACGTAGAGAAACTAGATGGAATAAGTCACAAATATACGAACCGTTGACAGATGAGATTGTTATGTGGTTCAGTCACTGCTGCCGTCAGCATCACTCCCATCATCTTCTACCTCAGCAGTGGTTCTAAGTAAACATTATTGCCCTTCTCTCATGGACATCTAACATGCTTTCACATTAGGCTCACACCAACACATTATCAATGCACCTTGTGCATCTGGCATCAGAGTGTAGGTACACGCGTTTGCACACTTTATTCCAATCAGGCTGCCAACAAGCGGCATCAAGAGAGAGTTGTGGCAGTCAGTCAGGCTACCGAAGTGCTTAGTTGGCAAGGTCTTGTGTGGATTATGTGTGTCAGTTAAAATAGTAGTAACGCATGGCACTGGTTGGCTACACTGCCGGGAAAATTGATTACAGCAATGGCAAATGTGCCTGTCAGTTCAGCATTGTGGTGTGCAGCCTCAAGCCACCACTTGATCAGAGGATAGTGTGTATCGGCAATGACTTCAATTGGCTAGGATCTCATTCGTGGATTGTGCGAGAAAAGTGTGAGTAATTTGCTTATAAACTTTTGTTTATTGTGACACTAATATAATGCAGTAAAAAGAGTAACAACTTTGCTATATATTCATCAGGTGAATATCTCCTGAGTGGCTGAGTGAACAATTCAGCTTTGGGACATCGCAATACAATAAAATTGTTGCTGTTCATAATATGTTTAAATGCAGTAAATAGGTGGATGTGGAAGGAGAAGGACTGAGAAACACGAGCTGTGGGTGGAAGGAGAAGGGCATAGAACCTTACTGCCTGGTGGAAACATGCATAATGGAGCTTGGGATGTTCATGTAGTGAAGCGCAGAATTAGCCCAAGTATGAAATGACAACAAGTGTGCATGTGTGGCTCCCATAAATCAGTGGTGTCTCATCTGTTTGTCTTTATCAACTCTGCAATGCCTCATGCATTTCCTCACAAAGGCATTCTTCACAGCGATGCCAATAGCGGTAGTGTGGAATAGCCTGAGTGTTGAGTTTTGACTTCACACAAGTGTGTGTACACTTGTGTGTCTGACTTCAAGGTCCTTTTCAGTAATATTTGTATATTCCAGTGTGCTAAGAGGGATGAGTGATTCCCACAGCCTGCCGTGTGGGCACACGCTCTGCTTGTGACCCCGACCGCTCTCACATGCCAGTGTCATGACAACACGTTGTCCGCCTTTTGAGTCTACTGACGGTTTGACCCCAGTACAGGTGACAGAAATCCGTGAGTTTACACAAATAAAATGATGAGTTGTCTTGGCGATGTCATGCACAGCTATGCGAGGGTAAGTGCACTACATCGCAGCGCCTAAGAGCTGTTGCATCTATCGCGATCGGACTGGTACACAAAACGTGGA